TAAGCGAGCTATAAGCTGCAAATTGCAAAAAGCTCGAAAACAGATCGTCAAACATCATCATCAAAATGTGATTTTTATCAGGATGAAATGAATTAAATAGTTTAAAAAACTATATAATTGTCCATAAGTATTTAAGTAATGTAATTAAATTTATAGCAGATTTTGTGAAGTACCCCTTGTGTTTCACTGATTGCTTCGGTAAGGAATGTGAATCAAGAAAGGTAAAATTATGTTATATTACAGTGAAAACCTTAGGGGGGATATTTGTAAGTGGCTTTTGTTTAGAGAGTTATTTTTGACTATCTCTAAAAGATATCAAGGACCTCATGTTGCAGTCAGGAGTAAACTAAAAACTATGCTATCAATTATTAATTTTTAGAGTGGATAGTTAAATTAAAATTAGAAAAAAGTCATTTCAGATTAAACAAACCTCTTCTCTTGGCTTAGTATAGGGGACCCCTAGTAAATGAATTTTTATGTTCAGAAATAAAAGCAAACCAAAATCATAATTGTTTATTAGACCAAATTGTTAAACCAAAAACATAATTGTTTATTAGACCAAATTGTTAAACCAAAAACATAATTGTTTATTAGACCAAATTGTTAAACCAAAAACGTAATTGTTTATTAGACCAAATTGTTAAACCAAAAACGTAATTGTTTATTTATTTAAAATAGTTCTATCTTTTATTATTTATAAATATTTTTGTACGTAATTATGTTGTAGAATCAAAAAGTTTCCTGAGCAGGTCAATTACAAATTAAAAATGAAACAATAATTTTATTTCTTCAAAGTACTTTCCTCCTGTATTCGCACACTTTTTCAGACATTGCTTATCAATTTAATGCATACAAAGCATCAGAAAGCTTGCAAGAATCAGAAATCTAGTTTAACTTAATTTAAGCTATTTTATAAGAACACGCTAGCAACATAACGATTTAACTTCTGAGGATCTTTGTCTATGCTAACGTTGTTGCTACACTGATAAAGGCGATTTTGATTTCGTCTTCGCTGATGAATTTTATATCAGATAATGTGAGTAATTTGTCAAATCACTCCAACAAGAATTTAAGTGTAAAATAAAAGGAAGAATAGATAAATCATGAAATGCATTAGTCCTGTTTTTTAAGTAAACATCGCTGAACTTAAAGATATGTTAAAAAGAAGAAGAAAATTACTTATCAACAAGTTCTTGTAGAAAAAAAAAAAGGATTAAGAAAAATAAGCAAAATTTTGATAAAAAAAAAAGCATGAAAATGCTTTTAATACTAAAATAAAAACTGTAATACGAAGTAATGATGAGATGCTTGCTTTAAAATTTTGATGAATTCAACAGATGATTCACTTTGGAAATATGAACTCAGATTAAAAATGCATTTGGATACTTATTAGAATGCAATTAGAAATTACTTCTTACTTTAAATAATATACGAGAATTGATTTTATGATTAAAAAAATTATTAAATTCATTTTTGAGAAAGCAAAACTTTAATTCTTTAGAACTACTTCAAGAATCCAATGAATGCACAAAATGTATATTTTATATCCAAATACAAATTATATGTTTTCAACCATTTTGTTTTCAAACTGTATTGGAATGAAACAACAATTTTTGTTGACTCTTTAGGTAGTCACAAATTATATTATAATATGACTTGCAATATACAGGTTAAAAATATAAAATATGAGTTACGAATAAAATGATGATTAAACATAAATACAAAATAAATATTTTTATTACTATAATTATTATTTTGTAGAAAAAGGTTGGACAAAGGAATTTTTTGCATTAATTAATTTTTCTTTTCTTATTTTTCGTTTTGACTCTGAAATTGAGACTTTTAATGTGATTGCTAAAACATTTATGTTAAATATTTTTAGCAATGGTAAATGCTTATATATATGTATGTATATCAGGATTAATGTTAAACTATAAAATTTACTACCATTTTTAATCTGCAATGAAAATCTTCTGATGAATTGAAAGATGTTGGGAGGTACATTTTTAAAAAAAAAAAAATACTAACTTTAAAGAAATAGCGTATATAAATATTTAGTCATTATTCTCAAAGTAAATTTGTACTCAGAATATTTCAAAGTTCGTGTCCATGAGTTTAGTGTGAGGCAATAATATGTTTTGCGACCAAAATTCACAACTGCACATAAAGAAAAATAAAAAGGAGAAAAGTTTTTCTTTTTTTCTCTCTCTCTCCTTTGTTTTCAATTTTCCTCAAAATAAAGTAATAAAATGGAGCAAGAATAAATGTTGTAAATTTTAAATTTTCCTGGTTCTTTTTTTTATTATTTTTAAATCATGTAACTGCTATAATAATGAGAAGCTATTCACTTAACTTAATCAAATATTTCCTATATTTCTCGTCACATCTTTGATTTTTTGCATGGATTTTTGCTATCTCAAAATGAAACTTTTGTAAAGTCACTAAAACAACTTTCAAGTTTACTTGATTCAATATGTTGCTAATTTCAAAGGAAGTTGTTACCTTTTAACTCATGGCTACACACTGGTGTTTTATAAAAATAATGTATGACAGTAAAAATGGATTAATCAAAGTAGTCTTGTTTGTTGCACTGTCTTGTCAAATTTGAATACTGATTAACGCAAATGAATCAGAAAACTAACATAAAAGAGTCACAAGAGAGGATGGGGGAAAAAAGAAAACGAGAAATGCACTGGAAAAAAATAACTGTTAAGAAAATTTCTCGTAAAAAGCATACCATAAACTATGTAAATTTAAGGACTGATTCGATGTGATCTAACATTTTCGAAATTAAAAAAAAAATTTGCAAAAGCTAGAAAGTACTTATTTTTTAGAGTACAATTTGTGGAAAAAATATTAATTGTATAATATTAGATCCGTAGGTGGAGGGAGAAGTCAAAACAGAGGACTGTATGGAATAGAATTGTGAAACAGGCTAGGGTTCGCAAAAGGCTGTAGAGCTATACAAGAAGAAGAAATCCCTATAAAATAAGTGTAATTATAGATATTTAGAAATATTTTAGAGCTGCTGAAGAGTGAGTCTGTCAAATAGCTTGAAGGGAGGACATTTCCTATCCGTAAACTTTAAATTAATCCTTATGCATTAATTAAATTTTTAAAAAAATATATCTAATATCTTTCAAATACTAACATTTCTTTCAATGTTTAATTGTATTAAATTTTGATGCATCATCCTGAATTCTAGCAGCAGTTAAATCCATATAATTACTAACAAGGTGATATTTCCTGGTGGTTCCTTTTGGTGTTCTTTTATTTTCTTTGTTTCTTCTAACCAATAAAAGAGGGACCCATACACAATTTTACAATCATTTGAGTTTCATCACTATGTAACGCAAATAAAATGCAATCAAAGAATCGGGATTTTTCTTATATTATCGGACAATTCTTAAAACGTCTACTAAATACCATCATTAACCAGCAAACAATATTCTTCTCTGCATCTCAATGTAATATGCGGGTGTAACACCAGTCCATCAGGTGACTAACGCAGACAGAGGGGGGTGGTAGACAGAAGACAGCAGAATTGTGCTGACTATAGTGCTAATTAACAAACCGCCTTGAAATCATTTTGAGCTTTAAGACAGAAGCTGACACACGAGTGATAGTGAGAAAAAGGATTCTCTTCCGGAGGATTTCGACGTGTCCTTTGAATTGCCACAGAAAGAATGGTCGATGACATCAGAAGAGCTAAATGAACATTTTCTAAACTTTATTAAGGAGAATTTAAATAAAAAATTGGAAGTTCCAAAACTGAATGAGGTAAAAAAAAAAATGTCCTCACGTATAACGATCTTGTTAACAGGCAAAATGAGGTCGTGGGCCTACACGAAAGTGCAAGATGAAGCGCAGATTGCCTTAAAACAATTAATTCAGAAACGCGCAGAAATACTATTCGGAAATTGCAAAGAGTAACATGCAAGATGGAGCTCCTAAAGTGGGGTCCTCCTACAGCGTCCGACAGTTGTTTGTACTCCAGAAGAGACGGAAAAATCTCTTAAAGCTCATATTAATCCAAAAGAAATCCAAGCTGGTGTCATAGGTATTAGAAGAATTGAAGAAGGTGGAGTAGTAATCAAAGTGGTATCCAAAAGAGGCACGAAAATAATCAAAGATGAAATTGTAGAAAAACGTTTCTCATAAGATTACTTTAATTTTTATTTAATTTACACTTTTTTCTTCTTCTTTTTTTTAATCGTGAAGATATTTTTTTTATAACCAATGTTAAAGATATTCATTGAAATTTTTTGTTCAAAGTTATTGGATTTTTCAGCTTAGAAATCCGTAGCAATTAAAACTCATTGTCATGACAAATCATTAAAAAGAAATTTTTTTTTAAATAGCAAAACAGCTTTCATTTTTTCTCACTTTTCATTTTGAAATATTAAACAAAACTATTTCTTTTTGTCGTTCTCTCTGATCAGAAGTTACAATAGGCCAAATATTCAAAATTCAATTCTTTTCAAAATATAGCTATATTTTTAAGGGCCCTGTCCTTCTTTGAGTAAAGCTGATAAAAAAATCTATGTGCCGATAGTATTTCCATCATTCAATATGCAGTTTTATGCAACTTGTTACAAAATTTAGTTCATAAACATATTTTATAATATGCAATTAAATTTATTATTATTCATTAATTAAAAATGTGCTTTCAGAGCTTTTTCCAAACTTTACATTTCTTTTCCTTTTGCTTTCAGATCCTTCTGCATCCATAAGTATTTCCATCATTCATTCAACAGAGAAAAATTCTCAAAAATTTCTATTCAAGTGAAAGTGTAATAAGTGTATTTTGCTACACACAAATAATACAAAGTGAAAGAATATCTATCTCAATGAGCAACAACTTACTTACGCTTGAAGTTCATGCTGATGAAAAACCTTCTTCTTCTAAAGTATGTACTAAGCGTTTTTGGCAGAAGCAAGATTTAGATGCTCACAGACCTGTTCATACTAGTGAGAAACCTTATTCTTGTAGTTTATGTAACACTTGTTTTGGAAGGTCTTCCAGTCTGGCTAGGCACAGTCGTGTTCATACGGGTGATAAACCTTTTTCTTGTAGTATATGTGATAAGAGTTTTTCACGTAATACTCATCTGGCTAGGCACAAGCTTGTTCATACTGGTGAGAAACCTTATTCTTGTAGTATATGTAATAAGAGTTTTTTACAGAAAATACATCTAAATAACCACAGTCTCAATCATACTGGTGAGAAACCTTACTCTTGTGACTTATGTAATAGGAGTTTTTTACGTCGTTCTAATCTGATGCAGCACAGTCGTGTTCATACTGGTGAAAAGCCTTTTTCTTGTAGTATATGTAATAAGACTTTTTCATATCATAGTGATGTGATTAGGCACAGCCGTATTCATACTGGTGAGAAACCTTTTTCTTGTAGTATATGTAATAAGACTTTTTCGTCTCATAGTGATCTCATTAGGCACAGCCGTGTTCATACTGGTGAGAAACCTTTTTCTTGTAGTGTGTGTAATAAGACTTTTTCACATCATTGTAATCTGATTAAGCACAGTCGCTCTCATACTGGTGAGAAACCTTTTTCTTGTAGTATATGTAATAAAACTTCTTCACATTGTGGTGATCTGATTAAGCACAGCCGTGTTCATACTGGTGAGAAACCTTTTTCTTGTAGTATATGTCATAAAACTTTTTCATATTGTGGTGATCTGACTAAGCACAGTCATGTTCATACTGAGAAGAAATCTTTTTCTTGTAAGGTGACCTGGGGTAATTCCTGATCAAAAAATGCAATCATCTATTTTGTGAAAAAACTATTCAAAATAGAATTTTAATATTTATTGGAAGTTTGACGCTATATGAGATGAGTGCTATGCCACCTTCTTTTGTTTGAAATTCTAATTAGAACTTAAAAGATTTTAAATTTTTAGAGATCAGGAATGAGGAACCTGCATGCGACGGGTAATCGCAAAATGTTGATTATTTTAAATAGTCTATATCTTAAAACTCCCGAAAATCAATTCAGAATTTTAAAAAACTGACCCGAATTTTAAAAAAACTTAACTTAAAATTAGCCTAAAACGAAACTAACTTCACATGACACAAAATGAGGCTGGGTTTGCTATGACGACAAAGTATAGTAACTCAGCGAAGGGGAGGAATTAAACCAAAGCTTTCTATGGAGAAAAGTGTTACAAAGGCATTTTAATTTTAATTGCATTTTTGAAAAAATTGTTTTTATTTCATGTTTATGTCATACATATAGTTTAAATATACATTAGTGTATATCAGTTTCATCCTCCCACTTGAGAAACTTTTTGTGGGCACCTTATAGCATAATGAAATAAAATTAAGGAATGAAAAAATAAATGTCGAAACTATTTTTTTTTTCAATAACTTTTGAAATGAATTCATTGTTCTTTATTCATACTGATTCATTCCTATTTATATTTTTCTGTACAGAAAAGTCTGAACTGTTTTGAAAGTTTTTATTCAATGAGTTGATCCCAATTAAAGGGAATGGAATGAATGGTATATGACCTGGAATTATAAGTGTTTAGGTAAATAAAATATTTAAAAAAATTCTTTTTCAGTATTAACTTCTAAATTATTTTCTTGAATTTGTTTTTGTTTTTTTTTGTTAAAGAAATGTATATAATGCTAAACCCCTATCATTTTTTATTTTAACTTTGATAATTTTTTCTTCTAGATAAAATTAATTAAATATTTTTTTTTAACTCAAAACCCTTCAGCATAATGAAATAAAATTGAGGTAGGAAAAAATAAATGTTGAAACTACTTTTTTTTTCAATAACTTTTGAAATAAATTAATTTTTCTTTATTGATACTGATTCATTTTTATTTAGATTTGTTTATATATAAAAGCTTGAACTGCATTGAAATTTTTATTTAATAAGTTGATCTCAACTAGAGGGAATGGAATGAATGGTATATGACCTGGAATTGTAAATTTTCAGATAAATAAAATTTTTTTAAAACTTTTTAATTATTAACTTCTAAATTATTTTCTTGAATTATTATTTTATTTATTTATTTTGTTGAAGAAATTATTGTAATGCTAAACCCATATAATTTTATATTTTAACTTTCATAACTTTTTCTTTCTAGGTAAAATTAATTAATTATTTTTTAACTGAAAACCCTTCTGCATAATGAAATAAAATTGAGGAATGAAAAAATCAATGTTGAAACTATTTTTTTAATAACTTTTGAAATAAATTCATTTCTTTTTATTTATACTGATTCATTTTTATTTATATTTGTCTATATATAAAAGTTTGAACTGTTTTTATTTAATGAGTTGATCCCAATTAGAGGGAATGAAATGCATGATATATGACCTGAAATTATAAGTTTTTAGGTAAATAAAAATTTTTAAAAAAATTCTTTTTTATTATTAACATCTAAAATATTTTCTAGAAATTTTTTTAAATTTATTTTCTTATTTATTTTAAAAAGAATCAAATAAGTGTTGAATTATAAGATATACAAATTCTAACATCATTTTAAGAAACGTAATTTTATAAGGCAAAGTACGAAATTTGAACAAAACCGGCCGAATAGTTACTCAGAAATTGAATTTTAAAGAAGTGGTCTATTTAAATTTCGATTTTATCATTGTCAAAGTCTCGCGTTTCATGGTAAACTGGTTTAGAGGCAAAATATAATAATTTTATAGCCAACAACCCCCATCGTGGCTTAGTTTTTTCTTAAAAGTCGAGTGAAAAAAATAATTTTGTTTAATGTTTTTAACTTTATGCAAGCACATTTTGAGATGAGATTGATTACCTGAACTTGGAAAAGAAATATTTGTATTTAGGCATGGGCGACGCAATTAGAAGTGATGAATGAAACGTAATTTTACTTATAGGGGAGAGGGGGGTTAGTATGGGCAATTTTTAAAAAAAATCGTCGCAAAAACCATATTTAGTATAATTTTTAATTTATGAAATATTTTTTGGCAATCATTTGAACGATTACTTGCATTCTGGTTTTTGTCTAAAATAACAAAGTTGTTTACTTTTTCCATAATAATTTTTTTCAAAAAAAGCTTTTATAATAAACTTGATAAGACCTCGCCTTTAGTTTTCCTCAAAACCATTAATGATAGAATTGATAAGAAGATTTCACGCTAAATTTTAAATTTGACATCGAAACCACTCATTGTAGAAGTATTTTGTCCCTATAAAATCATGCTCATTAAAAAAAAATATGAAATGTATTACATTTGTAACCCATTCATATTTCTTCGGTTAAAACTTCTGGTCACTCAGCCCTTCC